ATTTTCGGTGAATGCGTTACATGGAAATTGAAAACATAGTTCCGATACACGCTGAATACATCGGTCTGTTATAAATCAATATCGAGCGGAACAGGTCGGCTTTTATCATATATATTTGTCACACTCTCGCCCACAAATATCCGGCAGCTTGCCATTATTTTCTATTCCACTCGATGATACGAGACCAGCCAAATAAACGTGTGTATCTCCACCATTGATTTTCAAATCATCGTAACAATCGTGGATGATTACTATTTACGTTGTTATAAAATATTTAAAAACATGATATTCTATATATATATATATTTTTATTATATTTTTATATATAACATATGTCATAGATTTTTTTTTTTTTTAAGGATATAACAATCGAAACTTTAGAACTCAAAAAGTTTCGTATTTCGTATTACGAATCTCGAAACTTTTTACTATTATTTGTGATTAAACACTCTTGAAATTTGAATAAAGAATGATTAAAATAATAAAAAATAATTTCTATAGCAAGAAAAAAAAGAAAAGAAAACGGAAAAAAAGTATTTCGAAAGTTTTCGAAACTTCACAAAGAAATTCTCGGAATTTTCGAATTCAAGTTTCGCGAATCTAAAACGTCGGTCTTAACTTATTTTTAGATTTTTTTTTAATTTAATACAATTCAAAAATGAATGAAAAAAAAAAAATATAATCAATATAATAATAATGAAAAATTCACAATGAAAAGTATCGCTATACTTTTCGACATTGTGTCATTTTTCGATTTTTTTCTACATGTCTCGTGACGAGCGTGGAAAATCGGTAAATCGTCTTTTGAAAACGAGTCATGTGCACAAGTTCAACGGGAAGAGAAGACAATGGGTGGACAAGATGGGAAAGAATAGACGGCGCCGCCGAGGCACGGAATACGTGGCAGCTACATTGCCATGTCATTTTTATATTGTTCTTCTCGAAAATAGCCCCCGGTCTATCCACGGCCTGGAAATGGTTTACATCCAGCCTTCAGATTTCGTAATCTATTATTTCGCGTTTATTATCTACTCGCGTTTATGCTTTATTAAATGCTCCACATCATAGATTAAGTTTTTATTAACTTTGAATATGAATTTTTGACTATGTTTTCAATATATGATAACTAGTTCTCTTAATTATATATAAATACATTTAGAATATCGTTATTGATATTATTGATCTATAAGTTCTGCAGATATATAATTTAAAATAATCGAAATATTCAATGTGAAGAAATTCAAAATGAAGAAATGGAAAATGGAGGAATTCAAAAATAGAAAAATTGAAAATCGAAAAAAGTTCAAAATAGAAAGAATGAAGAAATCGAATATGGATAAGATTTACAGAAGAATTCAACGTGAAAAAGTAGCATTCTATAAGAATATCAAGCCTCTATGACAGAATTGTGCTAATGTGAAACGATTATTCCACCTTTATAGAAGGTGTCAAAATATTACACTAATATAAAGAAAGATATTCCCTTTGCTAGATATCAAAGGCATCACGATATAAAGGGGAATCCTTTATGATCCGAACGTAAAACACGAAACGTTCAATTTTTATACTCGAAATTTTCACGTTCTTTTTCTATTATTGAAAATTCTGATCGACTTGTTAATTCATAATAACGAGACAGCGATATTTTATTATTTAATTTCTTGCTATTTTCTTTCTCGATTTGTAAATTTGTAAAAAAAAACGCGATGAAATAGTTGTAGGTGGATAGGAAAGGAAAAACAAGACACTAATGGCGGCGCGAATGTAAAGAGAATGGCCAAATGTCGTGGTAACGACGAATAAAACTGTCATGGGTACAGCAAGACGAAGTGGCTCACGGACAAGATTATTTAAATTCCACTAATGACGTCATTAAAATAATAAACGATGTCGTTTAGGCGGCTGTGCTCTTCCACGGTCAGAAACTAACTGGGAAAACTTTCTTCTTCTCGACGCCATTTTATATCGGAAACTTCCTCTTGAATTCGATTTCCTTTTACTTTGTCGATTGTCGTTTCTAGAAAAAATTAATTTTCAATTGTATGACAAAAATAAATTCAATAATTATCAATGAATTGAAAAGAATCAATTATTTATACGAAAAATATTTGCATACATCATTATATACATTATACAATTGATAATTTATAGAAAATAATTTTGAAAAATTGAAAAACAACATTTTATGAAAAATAATTGCAATTAAATGTTTCTTCTGTTAAATAATTTCAAATTATTTTTAATTGATATATATATAAAATGAATAAATCTCTTGGACAATCATAATTTTATTACAATTTTCTAGATAATCTTAGTTAATTATTCTAATTATCGAATGTTAATTGACTGATATGTTAGTTTGGCTTTAGTGACTAAGATGATCGACTCGGTGAAAGGCAAATTCGACTTGATATATTTTTATAAGTTCAGAAGAAAATCAGGTTTATGTTCCTTGCACGTATCACACGTGTTAGTAACCTCGAATATTTTGCATGCTTCCGCGAAAACTCAATGTACTCGTTGCAGTTGGAGTGCATTACGATCAAACACGCGAACTGAATTGTTTCGTAAGAATGACTGAGGTATAATTGGTGTCTGGAAATAAGTCGAGAGTCATTTCGAAAAACTCTAATATATTATTGCTTCTATCATATTCGAGATTGATCAATTTTTTATTTTATTTTATAATTCTAAAATCGAAATCTTTATGATTCGAAATTATTTGATTATTATTTG